AAAATGCGTAAATTCCTCCAAGCAAAAAAATCCCGCTAACTATGGAAACCTGGAGCCGGAAACCCAAAGAGGAGACTAAATATTGCAAAATAACCAAAAGATAAACAGGCGGATGCACATCAAGAAGGCATAACTAGATGGCTAAGCAGGCGGAATTCGCATCACTGTTTTGTAGTGCACAATTTATAGAACTATTTTTATGCAAAACTAATATTATTACGTAAAACAACCAATAATCAAATGCAGCAAAAATATCGACCTAAATCGAAAAATAGGTAGTCAGCAGCACCCTGGTTTCCGAAAATGTGTTTCTTGAAATAACAGAACCATTCCTGAAAAAATGTCTCGATCTTTATTTCATAATTTACAATCGTTGAAGCTCTTATGTTTGTTTGTGTAGTGACATTTATTCTCCTGCATAGATAATTTTTTCATTTTCTTCGTAACTGGACGTTTCGTCGGATGATCCTTAACTTTGCTCTTATACAACACGTGATAAAATGCGTTCGCCTACCTTTTTCTCAATAAAACTTAACTGAAGCATAAAGTCCAAGAATTTTCTGGAACTACATGACATAGCAATCGGAGGATAAACGCAACTTCTACTTTAACGCAGGTACTGGTCTCAGTCTTAAGGGCCTTTCCCTTATCGCGGGTTTAGTTTACCTGTATGATCTCATCGTACATTAGTCCTCGGTTGAGTTCATGCTACCGGGCTCCAGACAATTATCACCCGCCTCCTGGCTGTAGCTTTCTGAAAAGTTATGTGCGCCCCTTGGAATGCATTGTTTCTAATTTTGGAGTTAATACCAATCCTGGAAATAATCAGCAGGTACACCCTTTGCCACCGCCTGCGTCCGTGTATGAACTTAGTGGTTTGCTTGGTCTGACCTGCCATTATGAGCTTTTTATCAAGGATGTTGCCTACATAGCGACCACCCTGAATCGACTCATCCGCAAGCAGACTGTATTTCACTGGACCGACAAGTCCGATAGATTATTTTAAGAGTTTAAGCGGTGTCTGACCTTCCTTCGCTTTTTGGCTTTCCCGGACATTCTGGACTCAGCCC